CAGCAGCAGCAGCAGCCGCAGCAGCAACTGCGGCTGCTGCTGCTGCTGCTCTCTAGAAAATGTACAGCAGCAGCTTCCTCTCGCTAACCAGCAGGAGTGCCGATACAGAAAGATCAGCAGCAGCAGCAGCAGCAGCACCAGCACCAGCAGCACCTGCAGCACCAGCAGCAGCAGGACCAGCAGCAGCAGCACCAGCAGCATCAACAGTAGCAGCAGGACTAGCAGCAGCAGGACCAGCAGCATCAACAGTAGCAGCAGCAGGACCAGCAGCATCAACAGTATCAGGAGCAGAAGCAGCAGCAGCAACAGCAGCAGCAGCAGATCCTGCTGCTGCTGCTGCTGCTCATGCACCCCGCAACAGCAGAGCAAGCCTTCTACCAGGTCTGCAGAGAGGATTAGGAGGGATAAGAAAGAGTTTGGCTTTCATCATCCCTAAGAAGCAAGATCTGTCTGCTGGTGCTGCTGCTGCTGCAGCAGCAGCAGATAATGCTGCTGCTGCAGATGCTGCTGCAGATGCTGCTGCTGCTGATGCTGCTGATGCAGCAACAGAAGTCAGCCTGCATAGCATTCAAGGAGACTATACACCAGCTGAACTCTCGATTGCTGCTTCGCAGTCTAGCAGCTACCTTGAACCTGCTGCTGCTGCTGCTGCTGCTGCTGGAGGCTCCTTCGAATCTGTATATAAGGCAGCTCCTTCTGCTGTAGAGAAGAACCGCAGCAGCAGCAAGAGCAGCAGCAGCAGCAACAACAACAACAACCACAGCAGCCACAGCAACCGCAGCAACCGCAGCAACAACAGCAACCACAACAGCAGCAGCAGCAGCACGGCACAAGGTTCGATAATATCTTTGCATCATGAAGACGCAGAAGCAGCAGCAACAGCAGCAGGAGAAAAAGCAGCAGCAGCAGCAGTAGCAGCAGCAGCTGCTGCTGCTGCTCTTCCTGAAGTCAATCCAATGACGCGACTGCTAGCGCATATATTGGTGGAGGGACAGACGGGTCCTGCTGCTGCTGTTGCTGCTGCTGCTGCTGCTGCTGCTGTCCACCG